AATTAAACCAATTTGTACGCTGATCGTGAAATTAATTATGTACGTTTGTTTAGTTTTACGTGTTGATAATTACAATTTTACTATGTACAGGTGAAAAATTATTTACTAAGTATCAAATTATCAATACACAAAGGCCCACACGAATAGACAATGTAAATTATTAAAAAAACTACAACATTTTACTACAAAAAGATTTGAAAAATTGAAAAGATTTTTAATGAGCAACGATAATTTTTAATACACACAAAATGGTGGTCTCCCGACTCATTTGCTACCATAGTCTTTTTCAAGAAGTTAGACGAACTATGGAAATGTAAAACAAATAAAACAAACAATAGATGCCCTTCCTCAATGGTATACATTGTACTAAATTAAACTAAGTTTTGCATCCTTATTTTCTGCTTAGTTATGGCAATTTATAGATACATATTGTATAATTTTAGATTAATTGAGATTTGTGAGTGTGGCAGTGATTCATTCACGCTGATCTACAATACCAAACTTTTTATGGTTCCAAGGAACATGAGTATCAAGTTTCATGAAGATATCTTAGGTTTTACTCAAGTTACAGCTTGCACGGGCAGTCTTCGAAATCGTCTGGTCATCCTGATCATTTCTACTTGTATTAGTTATAGGTGATAAATACAGCCGTTATGTGAACAAAACAATTACAAATCTATGACGTTATATGCATGTAAGTTCATTTGTTAAGTCTTTGTAATTTTCCCATTTATGGTTTGCTAAGAAACACAAACATTTCTTGAAGGTCATTATCCATTATCAGTTGCCTTCTTTGTGGACCTTCAAATATTCCCTATTCTTGATTTGCCTCGCTGAGTTTGGAGAGTTGTTCTTTCAGGATGGGTCTGTTGGCCGAATACAAATTTGTATACTGGGTAGTGTGTTTCGACTTGGTTTTAATGCCTTTTATTTGAATTAAACATAATTAGCAATCGCTTACATGACCTTTTGGTTCGGTTTAAATCTTTGGTATATGTGTGTGTTTTTGTATAGCAGGAACCCAGGATTTATCCTTATTCCTCACACGAAATCCAAAATAGTGTAAATAACACTGTTCAGTTAACAACGTGAAATCACGACGTTGAGATTTATAAGTTAATTCTCTACACACATAACAAAACTGTCGGGGTCGTTAGAACACTTTCGTGGCATGGTGTTTATTCTATAGTCAGTGTTGATTATATGGAGAAAATTTCTCAGGAATATGTTATACAACTAATGTTAATGTTGCTTTTAACTATATTTGATGATAATTATGAAATTCGCTGTGTAGGCAATTACTCATAACATTTATTCTGTATTTTGCGGTTTGCGTTTGAAAGGAAATAAATGTTATCGTGTATTAATATTATATTTTTAGTGGTAAAAAAATTTGGTTATGTTCAAAAAAGGAAGTACTAAAAACGACTTAATAAAAATCTCAAGACAAAGTAACCCGTTAAGAACTGTGGGAAATAAAAATATATTACATTTGATTAATATATAATTCTGTCAGAACTTAATTTGCTTTTTGCTAGAATTCCGCGTGTTGATAAAATAATGCTTTTTGAAAGGGACAAATACAGTTGAAGTGGCTTGGCTTGACGACGGGTTTCCAGACACTGCCCCAGAAAAATCAATCATCAGGGACTGATATGCTAAGTTGAAACGTGGTCAATTGAGCATCATAGACGGTGAACGCAGTGGACTCCCAAAAGAGGTTGTTACCGACGAAATCATCATCGAGCTCACTTTTGACCAAAAACAAAGGTGATGGATGGATGGATGATTTGGAGCAGTGTCTGGATATATTCAAGTGTAATAAATCTGTGTTTTTGCGTCGATATGTCACAATCGAGAGTCAACAGAAAGGATTGTACACGATGAACCCGCTCCAAAGTATGGAAAAACACAACAGTCGGATGGCAAGGTTATGGCGTCTGAATTACAGAATGCGCATGGCATAATTTTTATTGACTATCTTGAAAACGAAGGCGCCATCAACATCGACTATATATGTACATATATTGGTGTTGTTATTGGAATGTTCGAAGGGCGTACTCGACGAAAGAGGTCGCATTTGAAAAAAAGAACGTGTTGTTTCACTAAGACAATGCACCGTGCTACAAGTCAATGAAAACTATGGCAAATATCCATGCATTGGTCCTTGAATGGCCTCCGCATACAAAATATTCTCCTGATCTGATCGCTGTTATCAATTGACCTGTAACATAACAAACCCATACACATCTTTTCCAACAGTGGGAACATCGGAATACGACCTCGTCTACTTTCCATATATAACAATTTTAAATTCCATGTATTATATATTCAAGCCACAGCGAAGACGGAACTCATAATGGTCATAATGGCATAATGTACTACATCTAGTGGTGATTACTTTGAAGGGGTGAAATTGATTTGGAAGAATAAATAAAGAATTTTCAAAATAAATACAATGTTACCTTATTTTTTGGGCATATACATAAATCGAAAATCAATGACGTTATTCAAATAAGACTTTGCATATAAAGTATTCTATCTTATATCTAAAAGTGGTCGTAATGGTGGAATGGAATGACTCTTCAAGCTGTATGCAGAGAAATGGTTCAACTTCATTGTTCGGCGAAATAGTTAATTTATTGCAATCAAATTTAGACTCACTTGGTTTTATTACTACATTTAATTCCCCGTTGCCGAAAATTATGCTAAAATCATCGGTGTCTCCGTACATGGAAAGGCTAGTTGCATTAATATTCGACATTGCTTAGATATACTTGAGAACTTATTCTCAAGAAATTTTACAAATATATTAATATAAACACATACGTATATGGAGAAAAGACCAAATTATTATCAAGGAAACATTTCATCCGAATTTCAATAACACATACTACAGATTGTCCGAAATTTTTGGCATAAAGTTAGCCATACGCACTGGGGCCTACATAATTGGTATGTGCACCTTGAACAGTTATGGTCCGATTTTGACAATTTTTAGGTTGGAGATGGCATTATTTTTGCAAAGTTACATATTTATTGGTACTTGATTTGTGTAGTGTAATGTGAAGAAATTATATAGAGTTAAAAAGGCGGGATTGTAGCCCGATTGCACTACGAACTTGAACTGACTTTTTTGGAAACGATATAATTCAGATATTTTAATGTTTTCTAAAAGTTTTTAAAGTTCCAGCTTGTACATATGGAGGACAGACAGAACAGACTAACAGACAGCCACTCAGAATTCCATTCGTCTTGTAATCTTGTCTTCGATAACAATGGTTCAATAATACCTAATAGTACCCCCACCCCTCACATATCTAATAAAAGAATTTCTATCTATCGAATGATTTTACACCGTATATATCCAGACATATGTAATATATTATATTTTTAGTCTTACAATCACAATTGTGTATTGAAGGTCTGAAGGGATAATATCGAATAGACATCGAATATTACATAGCCGTATTGTTAATTTTTCATTAAGCTCTTGCAAGACTCATAGTTTACGCATAGCTCTGCTATTTCAAAACACAGTGTGAAAATGTTTGCCAGCAGATAAGAATCATAGTAAGGGATCAATGAATTCTTTATTAATATTCCCGCGTTTTTTTACAAACCGTTGTAATTACAAATACTAACTGATAAGAAATGTCGAACCATTCAAAGGCGTTGGTAGTATGGCGGGTAAAAAAAGATATAGTATGTGTATGCACATAGCAATTCTCGAAATGCCTAGGTATCCACGTAAGTATGTAAGTATGTATTTGGAGTTGTTTACGTGCTTAGTAATTTACAGCATGGTCGAAGCTTTCTACACCAAGCTGACATGTGGCTGTTGCAAGAGTTTATGCAATTGCTGATTGCCACGATCGATCAAGGGTGACTAATGTACGCCACCGCAGCGATGATTGTTCGCAATGGCGACGATGTCGCTGCCAACAAGTTGCTTTATTTGATTTATTCCACCATGCGTCTTTGCTTCGTTTGCGCTTCTGATTGCATTGTATTTTTATCAAGAATATTGCCGGCGATGGGGCACTGTTTGTAAAAGTAAATGCATAAATGTGTGCGTGAAGCACGTTCAATCAGAATAGGTAGCAGGCACTGGGAGCCGGGTGTAAATTATTTGAAACTGCATTCAAATTTGTGATTCAGCTCATTCCCTTGAGCCTGAATACAACGCTTCAAAGAAGTTTGTGCTACATATTTGACTGCTTACACCGCTTCATAAGCAGAAAGTGAGTTGCTAACTGAACCATTCCATATATAAATATTGAGGAATATTGCATAAAGAGTGCTTCGACCAAAAGATGCGATCACGTTCACCTAAGTACGTGATACACTTATGTTAGAATTGTTGTACTGCTACTAACTTGGGGATGGCTCAAAAGCAACTAAGTTTCTAACAAGTGAAGTTTATTAAGAAGAAAACTTTAAAAGAGAAGCCTCTTAAACTAAGCTTTAAAAAATAAATTAAAAACCAACGTGTTGAACTATTTTTGAAAATAGTCAGAGAAAAAAGAATATAATTTACAGATTTTAATTATTAATGATTAAGTCTTTTATGCTTATTTTCGCACTATTATTCATTGTGGGCATCTCAAAACGATGTTCTGCTAAAGTTTTACTTCTCCATGAACACGCAATACCATTATTCCTCGAAGTAGTGAACTACTGTATTGTGGTCTTCCACAACTAGAGCCTCACCTCTGCTTCTCACCAAAAATATATTCATTTAAATATTCAATCAACTACTGGTGTCAATTTTATTAACAACTGATTCTGTATTTTCGTAATTTTTAGAAAGATATTTTATGGATAAGCAGTTTGTTTTATAAATGCCTCGATTACTTTCTATAGCCCATGATCAAACCAAACTGTCATAAGAGTAAAAATTTACAACGCTTTTCATTCAACATTAATTGCAAATTTTAAAACTAAAATAAATTTTATATTTAAAAAATTATAAAACTATTGAGCACATTTTCACTAACCTGATCACATATTATATCCCATTTCTTTTCATCATCATAATTCTTGAGCAACTTCGCTTTGTCCGGAGGTAAGTCCATTGAAGCCTGAAGAATAAGAAAAAAAATATACATATGTATTTTTGTTAAAAAATGTATACACAATAATCAAGGCGAGATTTTTGTAAAGCTCAAAGCATAATATTTTACCTTAAAGAAAGTATACACCCATATTTTCAAGAAAATATAGTGGTTCCAAATTGCATATATAAAATATATAGTAGATAATAAAAGCAAAAATGTGTTAAAGTTGCCACTTCGCTTAAATTTAGAATTTAAAAAAAAAAAGTTACTATATATTTACTTTGGACGAACCCTTGTCTGTACTCGCATGTATTACATTTTTTAAGCCTGAATCCGTATTGTAGAAAATATGTAGACGGGAATAATTAAATATGGACAATTACATAACAAATATAAATAGTTATGGCTACAAAATAATCTTTGTAAACAGAATTGCTTTTATCTAGCATAGTCATTTCTGCAGCTTTCAGCTTAAAAAGGAATTTTTATTTAACAACATTTGCATATTCAACCAATGGTACCGTAAGGAATTTTATATGTCAGTATGCAAAAATATATATTTACCGTTATGTAAACAAAGTATTAATGTTTATTGCGCCGACAATTTTCATTACATTGAAGTGAGTGTTTCTTAAGACTACTTATGCAGTAGTAGTAAACGACTTTGAATACTCTAACGACACGTTATACAGTTAGCAGTTGTTAAAAAAACCGGTAAAGTGAGTCAATACCAAGATACCCGCGTTTTCAATTTCAGATTTATGAAAATATTTGCAGTAGTAAGCGCATAGAAAAACTTTAAAGGAGGGTGATTTGGCGCTGTCAAGTACTTTCTAAATTCTTCCCAAAGAATTAACTTAGGGTTGTTATCAAGTTACTAACCCTTCGGAAGCCATCTGCGTATAACACATCGCATAACGACAACTACAATGCAATAGTTTTCCGCAATTTAACTTTTATAACTTCAATTATTCGCAAAATATTTATAGTACATGAAATATAAATATATCAAATATAAATCTTGCTTGCAAAAAGGTAAAGCGGCACTTATGGCAGTATATCTGAGAAAATAAGTGTCAATACCTCGTGAGGTTCTAAATATTTGATTGGAATACACAAAAATGCTTGATGTTTGGGTGCCGCATGATTTGACGCAAAGCAACCTTCTGGGCCGAATCAAGGTCTGCGATATGGTGCTGAAACGGAACGAACTCGACCCATTTTTGAAGCGGATGGTGACTGGCGACAAAAAAACACACATCACATACGACAATATCAAGCGAAAACGTTCGTGGTCGAAGACCGAAGGATTGACTGCCACTAAGGTTTTGTGTGTTTGGATGAAGGGAATCATCCACTATGAGCTGCTCCCATTCTCCCTTTTACTGCGAACAAGTGGACCGCTTGAAGCAGGCGATCGACCAGAAGAGTCCAGAATCGGTCAACAGGGAAGGTGTAGTGTTTCACCAGTACAACGCTAGACCACACACTTCGTTGGCGACTCGTCAGAAGCTACGGGAGCTCGAATGGGAGGTTTTATCGCATCCACCATATAGCCCGGATATAGCGCCATAGAGGGGCGGAGAGTATGAAGTTGCCGTCTAGATGAAAACAGATTAACGAACGAAACGGCGCATATTTGAACTAAATCCCATCACTGTAACACTTTTACAACGCATTGTGTAAAGAGTAAAAAAAAAAGTGGAAGGGAGATATTTGACAATCTTATATATTTTGATTAGTCTATTAGTCAAATATTCTTGTAACGATAATATTCATACATAAAAGAGATTAAGAATTCTTTTTAGAAAAAATACAACTTAAATCAGCAAATCTTTTGTACTACGGTCGGTAAATTCAGCTTCCACAAGGAAAGATCCCCAAATGGGTTGAGGCTGATCGACTTCGCCGGGGACCGAAGTTTCCAGCATAAGAAGATACATCAAGCTACCTGGCTGTCTCCGGATCGAGAAACCACCAACCAGATCGACCATTATGGTAGACGGAATACACATCTCCAGTATTTTAGATGTGCGTGCGCTCCGAGGTCCTAACATCGACTCGGACCACTATCTTGTTGAAGCCAAGATTTGCACCCGCCTCTGTGCAGCAAACCAGGCACGCCATCAAACACAAGGAAGGTTCGACGTCGAGAAGCTGCAATCACAACAGACAGCCGAACGATTTTCTACTCGGCTTGCACTCCTGCTTTCTGAGAGCACTCGTCAACAACTCGATATAAGGGAACTGTGGGACGGCATTTCAAACTCCTTACGTACAGCTGCAACCGAAACCATTGGTTTTCGGAAAGTACAACAGAACAGCTGGTACGACGAGGAGTGCCGTTTCGCAGCGGAGAGAAAACAGGCTGCYTACCTCGCAACGTTACGATCGACCACAACACGTGCGGGATGGGATAGATACCGAGAGTTGAAGACGGAAGTGAGACGCATTTGCAGACAGAAAAAGAAAGAGGCCGAAATGCGTAAGTACGAAGAGCTTGATAAGCTGGCCGACAGGGGTAATGCTCGAAAATTCTACGAAAAAATGCGGCGGCTTACAGAAGGTTTCAAGACCGGAGCATATTCTTGTAGAACCACCAAAGGTGATCTAGTCACCGATGCCCAGATCATACTTAAATTAGTTCCAGCCTGCTGAATGGCAACGAACGCACAACTCCAGTAGAAGGCGAACCTGATTCCCCAATCGATGACGATGGAGCAGACGTTCCCTTGACCGACCAGGAAGAAGTTCTAATAGCAATTACCCGCCTGAAGAACAACAAAGCGGCGGGGGCCGATGGATTGCCGGCCGAGCTATTCAAACACGGCGGCGAAGAACTGATAAGGAGCATTCATCAGCTTCTTCGTAAAATATGGTCGGACGAAAGCATGCCCAACGATTGGAATTTAAGTGTGCTATGCCCAATCCATAAAAAAGGAGACCCCACAATCTGCGCCAACTACCGTGGGATAAGCCTCCTCAACATTGCATATAAGGTTCTATCGAGCGTATTGTGTGAAAGATCAAAGCCCACCSTCAACAAACTGATTGGACCTTATCAGTGTAGCTTCAGACCTGGAAAATCAACAACCGACCAGATATTAAACATACGCCAAATCTTGAAAAAGACCCGTGAAAGGAGAATCGACATTCACCATCTCTTCGTCGATTTCAGAGCTGCTTTCGACAGCACGAAAAGGAGCTGCCTCTACACCGCGATGTCTGAATTTGGTATCCCTGCAAAACTTATACGGCTGTGTAGGCTGACGTTGAGCAACACCAAAAGCTCTGTCAGAATCGGGAAGGACCTCTCCGAGCCGTTCGAGACCAAACGAGGTTTCAGACAAGACGACTCCCTATCGTGCGATTTCTTCAACCTGCTTCTGGAGAAAACAATTAGAGCTGCAGAACTAAATAGAGACGGTACAATCTTCTATAAGAGTGTACAGCTGCTGGCGTATGCCGATGATATTGATATCATCGACCTCAACACCCACGCCGTTAGTTCTGCTTTCTCCAGACTGGACAAGGAAGCAGCACAAACGGGTCTGGCAGTGAACGAGGGCAAGACGAAATATCTCCTGTCATCAAACACACAGTCGTCGAACTCGGGACAAGGCTCTCACGTCACTGTTGACAGTCATAACTTTGAAGTCGTAGATAATAAATATCTTGGAACCAGCGTAAATACCACCAACAATGTCAGCCTGGAAATCCAACGTAGGATAACTCTTGCCAACAGGTGCAACTTCGGACTGAGTAGGTAATTGAGAAGTAAAAACCAAAGTTTCCTTTCCGGACAAATATTAAAATTACAAACTTTAGCGATGCTACTCAAAATTAATTTTTTTAGTACCTAGGTAACCGCTCTACAATGAACCGATTAAAGGAATGATCTTCAGCCCGCTATATTGCCACACAAGTAGTCTGAACTTAGATTTCGTTCAAAACGCTTGTGTTTATTCGCGAAAATCTCTATTGTTCTCGAAATTGCAAGTGGTTTTTTGTGTTGCGTGAAGTGAATTGGAGGAGGCAGTGAACGAGGGCAAGACGGAAATATCTCCTGTCATCAAACAAACAGTCGTCGCACTCGCGACTTGGCACTCACGTCACTGTTGACAGTCATATCTTTGAAGTTGTAGATAATTTCGTCTATCTTGGAACCAGCGTAAACACCACCAACAATATCAGCCTAGAAATCCTAMGCAGGATAACTCTCGCCAACAGGTGCTACTTCGGACTGAGTAGGCAATTGAGAAGCAAAGTCCTCTCTCGACAAACAAAAAAAAATTCTATAAGTCACTCATAATTCCCGTCCTGATATATGGTGCAGAGGCTTGGACGATGACAACAACTGATGAGTCGACGTTGCGAGTTTTCGAGAGAAAAGTTCTGCGAAAGATTTAT